ATAAATGCATGTCTGATTGCTTCCTTTGGAAAGGCTAATCAGAAACTCAAAAGAATGCAACTATTTGTCTGTGACCTGGAAGCCCCCTCCTTGCTTGAGTTGTCCCACCTTTCTGAACGGAATCAATGTTCATTTTACATATGTTGATCACTGTCTCATGTCCCCTTAAAATCTCATGTCCCCTAAAATGTATAAAACCAAGTTGTGCTCTGACAGCCTAGGGCACATGTAGTCAGGACCTCCTGAGGCTGTGACATGGGCATGTATCCTTAACGCTGGCAAAATAAACTTTCTAAATTAACTGAGATCTGTCTCAGATTTTCAGGATTCACAGTACAATATCATGTTTTTCATCAAGAAGAATAATGTAATACTGATTAATTCTTTTCTTGTGATGTTAATTGCCATTGCTGTTCAATGGCAAAATCTGTTAGTTCACTGTGGATTGCAAAAGGGTTATAGTCTCAGTCTTTCATTTCTTTTCATGTATTAGCTAAATAATTTCTAGAATAAGAGATTTACCCCTGTCTATTATTTGTCGGTTCCATAGACACTTGTGTTTTGGGAGACTAAACCAAGCATTCACTCACCTACGACCCAGCAATTGCACTCTTGGTTATATACCAATAGAAATGCATGCATTTGTGTCCCAAAATATGTGAAAATATTATTTATAGCAGCACAGTTTGTAAAATCTGGATATAACACACATGTTTATCAACAGTGCAGGGACAGAAGAGTGAGCTATTTGTAAAATGGAGCACTGACAGCCATTGGAGTGAATAGGCTACAATCACACACAGCAAGACCTGGGACATGAGGGTGACTGTATTCAGATCTGACGGATCTCATCTGTGGTGTTAGAAATGAAGAAAGTGGCTGCTCTAGCAACCGGGGGGTGATTTATGATCAAGTAGAACCTAAGGGTGTTTCCTGAAGGCTGTAAATGCTGTACCTTAATGTGAATGTTGTTTGCTCAACTGTTCACTTTATGAAAATCCACGGACCACTCATGGTTTGTCCACCTTTCTCCATGCACGTTGTCCTTCATTCCAGTATACATTTCTGATGTTTTGAAACAATTCTCTCTAAGCTAATACAGAATCTCCCTTGCTGGAAGTCTTTAGAAATGCTACATTGAACAAATCAGTGCAATTATTAAAAATCCCAGGAAATAAATGCCTGTGACTCAGATATAAGGAGGAGAACCTACAACAAGAGCAGCAGTCTTGGGAGCTGACACCAGAACAGTTTTGCTAATGGCTGTTGAGCCAGGAACTAGAAATCAAATCCTACACAGGCCCATGGAAGGCGGGGGTTGTGAAATGATGCCCCAGTAGTGCATGAGTGAATGAATCATGGGCAGTGGCTCATGGGTTTGCTTGCAAGTCAGGAACTTGGGAAAAATAAAGATGAAAAATTAGGGGGTAGAGAGGTTTGCATAGGCCTCTTGCTATGGGCAGACTGTGTGATGATAGTGGTTGCACGTGGATGCCTAACAGAGGGGCTCCAAGGGGCTGGGGCTCCCTGTAATCAGGTGGGCAAGATGGCTTGATGGACGATGCCACTCAGCCACACAGGGCTTGCTCATGGAGTCTGTGCACAAAGTGGCCGTGGTGGCTGGGATGGACACTGCATGGGCACAGCAACTGACTCGACTCACCAAGGCTGACCTGGCAGCTGCCACTGCTGAGAACCCAGCCTGCCAAAAGCAGCTGTTCATTGAACAGAGAAATAAAACAGGCAGTATTAATTAAGAACAAGACAGTGTCATAACAGACAAATATACACTGCAGATACAAGAGAGATTTAAACAGTCTTAAAACTGAAAAATTATGTCAACAGAAAGACTTATTACAAGTAAAGAAGTTAAAACAATGGTAAATATTCTATTTCCCTTCAAACATATCCAGTTTTATAAGTATGCTCATGTATCAAACATATAATGCACTTATATAAAATATTCAAGATATATAGGGAATCATAGGAAAATCCAAACAACTCAAATTTTTAGGCATGAATAATGTTGATTCTAGAACCAGTTAGGAAATCAATAAAGAAATATTATTATAGGAATATCACTTTTATATAATTATGTGTGAAAATCCTGAGAAAAATATTAGTAGACTATATCTACCTGTGTGCAATGAATAGACTATGTTGACCAAGTTACGTATCCCAAGAATGCAATAATATATAAATTTTAAGTCTTTTAATGCATTTCACCACTTAAAGAATTAAAAAACAGAGACAGTCATGTTTTAGTAGATGAAGAAATTACTGTAAAAGAAATTCAACACTCCAACTGACCCACATTTCTTCAGTCATCTCTACTTTTAAGGATTCATGTGATCAGATTGGGCTCACCCAGAAAATCCAAGATAATCTCCCCATCTAAAGGTCCATCCTCTTAATCATGTCAGTAAAATCTCTTTTGTTGTGTAAGGTAACATATCTAAAGGTGATAGGCTTAGGGCTTGGACATATTTGTGGAGCCATTATTTTGGATTTCACAATGTAAATGGTGGCCAAATGAGATTTAACATTAGTCTAGTTAAATTCCTACACATCACAAAGTGAGTAAATGTATGAGGCATTCCATAAATAGTTTATGGGTAAAGGTGAAGCAAGTGTATACATAGCACTGTGAATGAAGGATCCACATTTACTCACACTGCACTGGAACTTCAGATGTTAAAGGGAAACGGTCATCTTCAGAGTAGCTGCAGAAGAAACACAGATCATCTAAGAAGCAACTGGTTTAAGATGTAACTGATTTTTCCGTCAGTCACAGCAGCCAGAAGAGGCATAATCATCAAAGAGCTGAGAGAAAGCCAATGTCAGATAGAAATTTGTGGCTGGCAAATCCATCTTTCAAGAATAAGAGTAAACAAAACATTATCATATAAATGAAATTGTTGGGCTATTTCCAAAATGCCCACTCTAAAAATACTTACAAAGACAGAAAAATATATAAGAAACAGAGAAAGCAGTAATTTTAATTTGGAATCATTGGTACATGTAAGTCAGTACAGTCATTATAAAATATTAATAATGTACCATTCAAAGGAAAAAAGTAACATAAAATACTGTAACATGTTGTGTTATAATTTCCTTACCCATCTTGCAACCCCCCACCTGTGCCATCTGTGAGGTCCAATGAAGTTTGATTCTTTTTTCTGAGATCAACTCCATAGAGTAGAGCACCAAGAACAAGTTAGGTGCTTAATGAGTTTTTACCATGTGAATAACTTTCCTGAAAGTACTTAGCAGATCAGGAATTGGGATGCATAAGCACAGTTCAAAAGTGGCTGAGGAGTGACACAGAAGAACATAGTGGCATAAGAAAGCTAAGGACCACCCTCCCCGCCCCCCACAGTGGCAACGTGCTTGTTGAAACATCATTATAAAATAATCTCGATGAGAACTGTGATTGGATTTAGTATTGATATATTTTTTGTAAATTGTGATAAAACATACATACTATATAATTTACCTTCTAACCATGTTTTCAGTGTACTATTTGGTGGCATTAAGCACATTTACAGTGTTGTGTAGTCACCACCAATATCCATTTCCAGAACATTTTCATCATCCCAAATAGAAACTGTACCCATTAAAACATAACTGCCCATTCCCTGGTAACCACTATTCTACTTTCTGTTTCTATGAATTAGCTTATTCTAGCTACCTCATATAAGTAAAATATCATATTTGTTTTTATTTCTGGCTTATTTCACTTACAGTGTTTTCAAGGCTCATCCAATTAGAATTTCGTTCACTTTAAAGGCTGAATAATATTCCATGTGTATGTGCACCGTGGGCTGTTTATCCAGTCATCCTCAATGGACACTCGGTTGCTTCCACCTTTTGGGTATTGGGAATAGTGCTGCTATGGGCCTGAGTGTGCAAATATCTGTGTGAGGTCCTGCTTTCAGTTCTTTTGACGATATGCCCAAAAGTGGAATTGTTGACTCATATAGTAATTCTATCTTTACTTTCTTAAGGAACCACTGTACTGTTTTCCATGGTGGCTGCACCACTGTTCACTCTCACCAGCAGTGTGCAAGTGTTCCCATTTCTCCATATCTTCACCAACATTTGGCCTAGTGAAGTTTACCATATTTTTATGTCCTTATCAGCATTCCTTTTTCTTTTCTTTTTTTTTTTTTGAGATGGAGTCTTGCTCTGTCGCCTGGCTGGAGTGCAGTGGCGCAATCTCGGCTTGCTGCAACGTCCACCTCCCAGGTACAAGTGATTCTCCTACCTCAGCCTCCTGAGTAGCTGGGACTATAGGTGCGTGCCACCATGCCCAGCTGATTTTTGTATTTTTTTTAGTAGAGACGGGGTTTCACCATGTTGGCCAGGATGGTCTTGATCTCTTGACCTTGTGATCCGCCTGCCTCGGCCCCCCAAAGTGCTGGGATTACAGGCATGAGTCGCCACGCCTGACCAGCATTCCTTATTTTTATGTCCTTATTGTATATGTTCTTTGGAGAATTGTCTATTCATGTCTTTTACTCATTTTTGAATGGGATTGTTTTGCTATTGTTGAATTGTAGTTCCTTACATGTTCTGGATATTAATTCTTCATCAGATATGTGATTGGCAAATATTTCCTCCTAGTCTGTGCATTTTCTTTTGACTCTCTTAACAGTGTCCTTTGATGCAAAAAAGTTTTTAAATTTTGATGCAGTCTCATTTGTCATTTTTCTTATGTTACTTGTACTAGTGGTCACCAACTAAGAAACCACTACCAATTCTAATGTCCATAAGATTTTCCTCAGTATTTTCTTAACCGTTTTACAGGTTCAACTCTTAAGGTTAGTTCTTTGAGTCATTCTGGCTTTATTTTTGAAAAGGGTGTAATGGAAGGGGATGAATTTTCTCCAGTATCATTCTTTTGCATGTGGACATCCAGGTTCCCAGCACCATTTGTAGATGCACCATATGTTGCAGTGGGGCTGACACATTTGTAAGATGCAGTGAGCACTAACACATGGGAGCACCATGCATTTATTTACCTGTCTTTCCTCCACAGTTGTTTTGAGAAGTCTTTCACTGAGAAACCCAACAGAAATGAATATATATGACTTCTTATAAACTCAAATTCAAGTAAAATTATAAATTTTTAAATGTTAAGACTGGAGCAAGACTGGAACATCACTAGACAAGCTGAAACATAGGCTGAAATGAAGGGTTTATGTTTACCTTGCTACAAATTTTGTTGGCCCACAATCTATTATGCTTATTGTATAAGAGAGCCACAGAATAGGGTGATAGCTCATAACCAGTCCCTGGTTTTCTGCTTCAGAAACAATTTCAAATTCTCTGCTTAGACAGAGTAAGGAAACTAACTGAAAGATGTCTAATGTGAAGTTGGCATCTACAAAGTCAAAGAGTGAGTAGTAAGTAAACATCAGGAATCAAAGAGATTCTGTCTTTTTACACAGCAATGGCCTCACTATGCACTGCTGAGGGGAGAAGGTCCGTTCAGGGGACCTTCATGATGAGGAAAAACCCTATATGATGTAGGGGTTTTCTGCTGCAGCCCTAAATTAAATTGTCCTTCGCTCTAAATACAGGTCTCACAAAGTTTTATGTCTTCAAAGATTTCACTGGGCCAAGATTTTTCTTTTTTTTTTTTTTTTAGCTGCTGCCTGGAGCTTAGAAAAGTGACTTGGATGTTTTCTCAAAAGGGTATTTCTTTGATGGAATGTGAAATCCGCGAACGCTCTGCTTTCCTGCTGTATCCCCAGCGCAGGTTGAGTACCTTGCACCGCTTTTCAGCACTTTCCTGGAAGGGGTTGAAGATTTGGAGTTAGGGCCGCCCTCAATCTCTACCCTTTCTTTAATTCAGAGGATCACAAGCTGTTGGGGGAAGAGTGGTGTCTTGGGCCTCTAGCTGATCTGATGAATATTAATATCCAATGTCCTGTAATGGAGTCATGTGTGCATGTTACATCACTTCTGCATGCAGTGTCACAGGAAAGTGGGTTCACGGACCCCAGATTAACAGCCTAAGCACTAAACGCACAGAGCTAGAGCTCTAGGAGGGGAGGGATGGCTGGGGTGGAATCTCGTCTTGTTCTTTAGTCCTGCGGTCTTTTCACTCCTTACTTGGTGGGTGCTGGGCATCTGGCAGGTGCCGATGTTGATGGAGTCGAGGCAGGGAACTGGCCGGGACTGGGAAAAACAGGGTTGGAGAGATAATTAAGGCGGACTTTATTTTTTTCTGAGCGTAAGTCATGGCTCAAAATCTGAAGAGCCTGAAAGAATATCCCCCTCCCTACCCAAACCTGTTTTCTCCTTTTCCCTCAAGTCTCATTTGGCCACAGGCCCAGTGTCAACACCAGGGGGCGCCCACAGACCATGAAGGCACCACTCAGCTGGGATTGTTTGTGGTCGGCTCCCGGGTCCCTGACTTAATCAGGGGAGCCAAGACCCTGCAGTCAGGTGGCCCGGATTCAGCCTGCAGCTCTGGTCCTACTGACAGTTTCCCCCCTGGTGCCTCAGTTTCTTAATCGGTGAAATGGTGAGGACACTACAGCACTTACCTCTGGGGCGGGTTTCTCAACAGCAGCACTATAAACAGTTTGGGACAGAGACTCCCTTGTGGAGTGGCCTCTGCATTGTGGGAGGTTTGCCAGCAGCACCCCCACTCACCCCCTCCCACCAATCCCCATATGACAACCGAAAATGTCCCGGGATTTTTAGGTCTCCCTTGGGTCTGGAAGCTGCACTTAGTCAGGCATTTTCCCACCTGACACTTGAGCTCATCTTTACTTTGGGCCACATAAGGTCACTTTAAAAAATGTTGTTTCTTTAAAGATTCTAACCATCTTTTAAACAAATCAATTTTCTTCCTCTATGTCTGCATTCAGTTAATCCTCCCAAACCCTTTGTTTAGTATATCTCAAAATGTATCAATTCCAATTCTAGTAATTAGCGTATCTGACTTGCATGATACCTGCTATGACCCCTGGTAGAGCTCTGATTCCTTTAGCACAGGGAATAGTTCTCGATTCTGCTCTGGATGATGCAAATCAGTTTATTTTACTTGTCTGGGATGTTGCTCCTCACCTGTAAAATGTAAATGTGGATATGGCTTGGATTACTAAATGGTTTTATTTCTTCATTCACCTGACATTGTTGTGTACCTGCTGCAAGTCAAATACATGGCACGATATTGTTTCCTTGATCACACCTCAGCAAATGAGAAAATGAGACATTATAGCAGGTGTGGCGGCACATGCCTGTCGTCCTAGCTACTCGGAAGGCTGAGGCAGGAGAATTGCTTCAGCCCAGGAGTTTGAGGTTACAGTGAGGTATGATATCACCATTGCATTGCAGCCTGGGCAACAGACCCTGTCTCTGAAAAAAAGGAAAAACACAGTGTGAGCTGTCTGCATGTACTCCATGTCTCAGGAGACCCATGTCCTGTAATTTTTCTAAATGGCATCTCCATGTGGTTTTTCATGAATGTTTGTCTGGTATTTCTATCCTTTTACTTTCAACTTTTCTGTATCTTCTACTTAAATTATAGCTTTTGTCAATAGCCTACGGTTATTTATTTATTTACTTATTTATTTTTACCCCCTGCACTATTTGTCTTGTAATTGGAGTGTCTGAGTCCATTATGTTTAAAGTAATTGTTGACCTCATTGGGTTTAAGTCTGTACATTGTCATTTGCTGCCTTCTAATATTATCTCTTTCTGGCTCAACTATTTTTCTTCTGTTTCCTTCTTTAGATGAATAAAAAACTTTGCATTATTGTAGTCTTGTGACTAAGTGTTCTAATTATACATCCTCTTATTATTTCTTTAATTATCTGAGAAAGCACAATAATCTGTGACTTATTATAACCAACAGCAGACCGTAACTTCCCTGACTTTCACCTGCCTGTGCAGACAGCCCAGGGGAGAATCAGTGCTCTGGCTCTGAGACACAGGGCTGGTGGAAGTAGGAGAGTGATTGGATGATGAATCTGTAGCTGCAGAGGCATCTGGGCCCCTCACCTGCATTCCTCGTAGATGTCTCCTCCACTGAATGCCCGCGATGCCCTCTCCTCTGTATGCTCCTGCCAGAGTCTCCCCATCTCCACTGACAGCAGCTCCACCCTTCTGCTCACTCAGTCCAACACTGTAGGTGTCCTTGATTCTTCTTCTCACACCACAGATAAATCCATTAGCAAGTGCTGTGAAGTCCATCTTCACATTCATCCAGAATCCCTTCAGTTCCCACTATTTCCCCTGCTCACACCCCAGTCAAAGTAAGCAACATCTCCATTCTGGAATATTCCACTCCTTTCCCACCGTTTTCCCCACTGCCTCACTGGTCTCCACCTCTCAATTCTGTTCTCAGCACAGCAGCCAGAGAGAAGCTTTCAAAGGATAAGTCTTACCATGTCCTACTTTTCAAAACTGTCCTCTAACTCCCCATGTCATTCAGAGCAAAGGTCAACATCCTTCCCACACCCTCCAGGACTACCTGCTGTAGCCACACCTTGGACCTCACTTCAGTTTCTCCATGTCCAGCCCTTCTGGCCTCTTCGTCCTTCCAGAACACAGACAATTTCCTGCCCTAGTGCATCTGCACTGAAGGTTCCCTGCCTGAAAAGAACTTTCACAGGCATCCCTGTGGACAACTCCTCACATCCCTCAAATCTTTACTCCAAGGTCACATTTGCAACAAGGCCCATGCTGACCACCCAGCACAACAGCCACCTCCCTGTCCCCACAGCCCTCACTCTGGATCACCTGCCACACAGCACTTGCCACCTTCTAACTCAGCATCTTCTGTTCCTACTCTGCTTATACTATATCATCTGCTGCCTACAGAGGTGTCCAATTTTTTGGCTTCACTGGGCCACATGGGAAGAAGAAGAATTGTCTTGAGCCACACAAAAAATACACTAATGACAGATGATGAGCAGAAAGAACAGAAAAAAAAGTTCATGCATAATTTTCATGATATTTGCCACCACAGATAAGCAAAAAAGTCTCACATTCAAAGCCGTCCTGGGTCACATGCAGTGGGTTGGACAAGCTTGCATCTAGAATATATGTACCACAAGGCTGGAAATTTTTCAGTTTTTACTTTAATGATGTTTTCTAAATGCAGAAACAGTCATATCCCTAGCAGACAACAAATGTCAGTGGAATGAATGATCACTGTAGAGCACCTCCCTATTCTAAAGGCAATATCTTTATTAATGTAGCCTCAGGTCAAATGCTGTTTCATGGCAGCTAAAGAACAACATCATCTCACACCACCATCAGTGCCACCAGTGCTTTTCTCACCAGGGCTGCTTGTGTGTCCTCCCTCCCCCCACACAAATCCTCCTGCACACTGCAGCACACAACCATATTTTTCTGTTCAGGAAAGATAATCCTAGGCTTCTGGGTCCAATTTTCCAACCACATATGAATCTAAATTAGACTCTACTTTATAAATCCATGAGTTTGGATTGGAGCCAGCACAAGGATTACTACAACTCAGGGCAGGAAGAAGAGTAGGACAGCAGAAGAGGAGCTCCAACAGAAAGTTACCTATGATGAGAAACTATGGGACCCCTCCTCTCTGTAAATTTCAGAATCTGCTTCCTTTAAGAAGGATGGGGAAAAAGATAGAAAATACAATCCAGGAAAGAGAACTGGAAGGAGGGCGAGAGATACAGGGGTCTGAAAATTTGTCTCTTGATACCGGAAGGACTTCTACGTGTAAGGACCACCCTAGGTGACATCCAAGTCCCTGTGATCACAGGTCCTGATGGGACAAGGTTCTACTGAAGGGCCAAGGACAATGGAGCAGCAAAGATGACCCAGCCGAGCTGTGACCACATAAAGCCCACAGTGGCCTGAGCACCCACTGGGCGCAGCCCCATCTACTCTCCTCCCCTGCAACAAATCAGCACAAGAAACACATGGACTCTGGAAGGTTCTCATGTCTTCCATTTATTTTGTCTCTCAAATTTTAGGAATCTTCTCCTTTAATTAACCCATCAACCTCTCATGGAAATAATTTGAAAAAAGTAAATTTATACTCAGATTCTAATTGTAATAGGGAAGCAAGAAGTTACAGCTCAGTGTACCATGAAGTTGAGACAGAGATGGAGACATCCCAGCCCAACCTCTCTGGAACAGGAAAGGTGATTGGGGAAGGAATGCAGGTCAGCGTGGGGAAGAGGGTCATGGTGGACACGGGGCTGGGGTGTTCTCCCCACCTCCTCACATTATGCCTACAGGAACACAGACACATTCAGATGCCTTTGCAGAAACAGAAGTCAGGGTTCTTGAAGTCACAAAGGGAAGGCATGAACAACTCTTGCCTCTCAGTCCCACACAAGGCAGCTGTCTCACACTATAGAAAAAATATTCATGAACAAATTCATATCAGTCACAGCGAGGGGTCACACTTTTAACAGCCCATCACGTGCTCAATACATCCAAGTCAAAGAAACCCCATAGCACAGCTGTGTCCACTGTTCCCCCCAACACCCCACATACATCAGGCCCCCCAGGGTCTCACCTTTATAAGCTGTGACAGACATATGAGAGCCCTGGGCACTTTGGCTACCTGGGGTAGAACAAAAACAGAACCTGGTCAGAGCCCACAGGAGATGTGGCTAGAGGAGGAACTGTGGGCTGGGTGAGCTCCCCCATGGGCTCCTGACCACAATATCCCAAGGATTTCAGGGATCAGCCCCCTTCATACTTACTTGCAGCCTGAGAGTAGCTTCCTCCTTTTCTATCTGTTGGAAGAAAATGTCCTATGAGAGGTCAGAAAGGTGGCAGGGCCATGAGACCCTAGAGAAACCTAGTCTTGGACCCTCGAGAAGTTTCCAGAAATGTGTGACTGCAGACCAAGGGCAGGATCAGGAAAAACAAGGAAAGCAGATGTAGGTCTGGGACCAACTGCCCTTCTAAGGTCTGTCCTCAGCAGGGACCTTCCCCTGACCTGTGACTGCTGGGATCAGGTCCCCATCACTACAATCATCAACGTGATAAATCTGTCCTTCACTGTCACAGGTGCTTTACAAAAGAGTAGGTGCTGGCACACAGGGCCCAGACTGGGTTGGCCCATGAGTGTGGATGGTGCTTCCCAGTAACCGGGAGGGCACACTTCTACCTGGGGCTTGGAACCCTCAGTGAGACAAGAAATCTCAGACCCCACCTGTCACCCCTTCCTCACCTGAGCTCTTCTTCCTCCATAGCACAGCAGCAACGACAGCTCCAGTGATGACAGCTACAAGGACAACCAGGCCAGCAACGATAACTATGATGGGGATGGTGGTCTGGAGAGAGGGCTCTGGGAAAAGAGGGGAATGTGAGGGTTCTGACCCCCAAGCCCCAGACCCGACCCTGCTAAAGGTGTCCAGAGGGGCTCCTGCTTCCTCTAAGAGACATGATCCCCCCATCTCCCTCCTTACCCCATCTCAGGGTGAGAGGCTTGGGCAGACCCTCATGCTGCACATGGCATATGAATCTCTGCTCCTCTCCAGAAGGCACCACCACAGCCGCCCACTTCTGGAAGGTTCCATCCCCTGCGGGCCTGGTCTCCAGGAGCTCCATGTCCTGGGTCTGGCCCTCCCCATCCCACTGCCAGGTCAGTGTGATCTCCGCAGGGTAGAAGCCCAGGGCCCAGCACCTCAGGGTGGCCTCATAGTCAAAGACAGGGTGGTGGGTCACGTGTGTTTTGGGGGGGGTCTGAAAGGAAGAGTCAGAAAACTCGAGCACTTTGCATCTCTCATGGGACACCCCAGCAGCACTCATGTGGCCATCTTGAGAATGTACAGGACACCCGGGGTGTGGAAAGGAACACAGAACCCAGACAGCAGCCTGGACACAGGCACCTGGGATAATCTCCTATTCCTTGGAAAGTTCTAGTCTCTGAGCGGGGGAGCAGGGACTTCTGGTTCTTACCTGAGCGGAGGCCAAGGGATTCAGAGGAGCTGGAGTCAGACCCCCACACACATTGAGTGTGAGGCAGAGAACAAGGCTTGAGAGGAAAAGTCCCGGTGCCCAAGGCTGCTGTGGGGTCAAAGGGAACCCCTGATCAGTATTCCAGGGATTGTCTTCCTCTCCACTCCCTCAGAGACTTCATCCCTTGATTGTCCCAGAGAGCAGGACGGACCCTCAGAGTCACTCTCTGGTACAGGATCTGGAAACCCAGGAGGATTCCTCTCCCTCAGGACCGGAGGGAAGGCGATATTCTGGTGGTGTTGCCATTTTCTTCCCCTCCTTGTGCGAGGCCAGCCCAGAAGATCTACAGGAGATCTACGAGGCACCCTATGGCCCCTGGTACCCGCGCGCTGCAGCGTCTCCTTCCCGGTCTCCAGGTGTCTGCGGAGCCACTCCACGCAGGTGCCCTCCAGATAGGCTCTCCTTTGCTCAGCCACATTGGCCGCCTCCCACTTGCGCTGGGTGATCTGAGCCGCCGTGTCCGCGGCGGTCCAGGAGCGCAGGTCCTGGTTCAGGGCGATGTAATCCTTGCCGTCGAAGGCGTACTGTTCATACCAGCGGAGGAGGCGCCCGTCGGGCCCCACCGCAGCCAAACATTTCCTGCAGGGTGCGAGACCCTGGCTCAGTTCCCGCAGTCAGCCCCGCCCACCCAGCCCCGGCCTGGCCCCTAGCAACCTGCAGAGATTTTGGCCTCAACTGAAGATGAAACCGGGTAACGGCTTCTGGGGCTCTCCAGGGTCGAGGATCTCTGCAGGTCCCGCAGCCTCGGGTTGATCTTGGGCCCGGAGACTCAGGGGGACCAGGGCCGTCCGTGAGGCATGAAGCCAGGAGTAAGTGATATGCGCTCCGGGCGGGGATCACTCACCGGCCTCGCTCTGGTTGTAGTATGGGAGCAGGGTCCTCAGGTTCACTCAGCCAGTCTGTGCCTGGGCCTTGGCGCCCAGTGTCTGCAGCTCCCAATACTCCAGGCCCCTCCTGCTCCACCCACCACTCCCGCGGCTCCATCCTCGGACTCGCGGCGTCGCTGTCGAACCGCACGAACTGCGTGTCGTCCATGTAGCCCACGGCGATGAAGCGGGGGCTCCCCGTGGCCGGGCCGGGACACAGGCGGTGCTGAAATACCTCAAGGAGTGCCAGCCTGGGGGCGCGGAGAGGCTGAGACCCGCCCGACCCTCCTCCCCGCGCGGCTCCCCAGGTCCTGCGCCCCTGCCCAGAGGGCGCCTTGCTCCTCTCTCCTCCCGCAGAGGCGGTTTCCCTCCTGACCCCGCACTCACCCGCCTTGGTCTCGGTCAGGGCCAAGGTTCCCGAGAGCAGCAGGAGGAGGGTTCGGGGCGCCATGACCCATCGTCGGCGTCTGGGAAGACTCTGAGTCCCGGTGGGTGGATGCGTGTGGACTTTAGAACCGGGTCAGCGCGACGCTAATTGGCTTCTCTAGCAACCCGACACTCAGTGGGAGTGAGAACTGGGTCCGCGTCGTGAGTGTCCAGGAAGAAGGACCCGTCGCAGGTTGTGAGAGGGAGAAGAGAAACTCTGCGGAGATTAGGAATCCCCAACCCTGGGACCCCCCAGCCCATACACCGCCTTCGGGGCCTGAGACTCTGAGAACCACGCCTGGGGCCCTGGGACTTCGCCCTGACCCCGCTCCTCTTGTGCCAAGCGCTCTGTCTCAATGTCTCCCTGTGTCTTGGCCCAGAAGCTATGTGAGAAACCGGGAAGGAACTCTCGGCTTGGGCCCGGTCCCTCTCCCTTCACTTGTCATCCTGGAATTCCTGTCACTGAAATGAACTCCGTGTCTCCCACCCTTTACCTGTCCCCCTGGAGTCTTCTAGAAGAAAACTCACCCCAGGGAGCTTGGTGCCAGAGAGGGAGCTCGCCCTGGGAATGGAGGTGTAGAGACAGGGCTTTTTTTTTTTCTTTTATCTTTTTCTTTAAATCTGGAAAAGTTGCGCCTGAGTGCATGAGACAGAATAGAGATCAGTTTGCTTTTTGTTTATTAACTACAGTGGGTAGCAGAATCTTGGTAACCCCTGAATGATCAGGAATCTAATTGGCAAAAAATGTGACTTTGGCCCCTTGATTTATAAATGTGTCTAAAAGCGTTACAATAGGACTCACAAAGCTCCTAAGTTTCACTTTCGCAAACAATGTATCTGTGACTCCCACTTGTATTTTAAATTTACCTTCATTCCATAGCCCTGAGTTTCTGTGTGAGTCCAGGACATCTCCTCAATACAAAGTAGCCACTGTGTTCCTATATGTTGCAACCAGGAGTCAGTACAGACTTTATTCACCTCAAAATTGCAAGCACTAAATGCAGTCACAATGCCCATCACCAGTGCTCATGCACTGCCAGGTTTTAGGAAGTATCCACATCTAAGTGGTGTGTATATTTTATAGGAACACTTAGTATTTTTAAAACCTGATTAACATAAAAAATTAGTTTTTAAGCAGATCCACTTAAGATGTTAAAGGCCAACTGCAAGTAACACCCTGCGAGGCTCTGTAGATGAATGTATTGAAATACTGTAAATCAATGTGTTCAAACCTAAGAGTTCTGCTGCTTTTGAATTCTGTCCTCCTGCTCCTTTTCCTCACCTCCTGCATCCCCAGCCCTTCCCTCCATCCCTTGTATCCCTCAGGCCCTCCTCTCCCCTTAGTCCCCATCACACTGTCACTCCTGAATTATGACACTGGCACTCTCCCATTACTTGCTGCGTGACTGTTCTCTCCACAGTGGTCCTGCTAATGTGAGTCAAAGTGTGTCATTTCTCCACCTAAAACACTCCAGTGGCTCCACCTCGGTCTTGTGAAGCTTCTAGAATGCCAGGCACATGAGCATATGAGGGGACACCTGGTTCATTGTAGGGACTAAATTAATTTGTGTTGACTGAATGAATGAAATATGAGTGTATTAAATTGCATCACAGAAAATTATAAAATGTAAAACACTGAAAAAGTTAAGAAAGATTTTATTTTATGTAACTAGTGTGTATATCAATTCATCAGTTCATTCCATGAGTCTGTGGAGCCTGTGTATGAATTTTATAAGAGTGTGTAACAAATTGTCACAAACATTGGCTTTAAACAACACCCATTTATTGTATTCATTTATTTGTTTTTAGAGACAGAGTCTCCCTCTGTCATCCAGGGTGAAGTGCAGTCACATGATCATGACTCACGGCAGCCTCAAACTCCTGGGCTCAAAGAATCCTCCTGCCTCAGTCTTCAGAGTAGCTAGGACTGCAGACAAGTGCCACCACACCCAGCTAATTTTAAAAAAAAAATTGTAGAGATGAGTGTCTTACTATATTACCTGGGCTGGTCTCAAACTCCTGGCTGCAAGTGATCCTCCCGTGTCAGCTCCTCAAATGTTAGGATTACAGGCGTGCACCACCACGCCTGGCTAAACAACACCCATTTATCTGTTTATAGTACCTTAGTCAGAAATCTGAGCATGATGTAGATGGAATCTCTGTTCCGGGCTTCCCAAACCTGAGTCTTCATTTTGAATGCTTCTTTAGGCTTATGCAGAGGTGGCAGGATGCAGTTTCTAGCAGTTGTAAGACTGAGGTCCCTATTCCTTGCAGGCTGTCAATGTAGAGAACAGAGAGGGCTGCGCTCAATTCCTGGTGTCCATCAGCATTCTTTGCTACACAGCCCCTTCATTTTCAAAGCCCACAGTGGAGGAAACCCCTCATGCTGAGTACCTCTCACACTGTGAATCTCTACGCTCAGCAAGAACCCGGTCCTTTCAAGGGCTCACCTGATTAGGACAGTCCAAGCAGGATAAACCCAGCCTAAAGTCAACTAATTGAGGCCCTTAATTATATCTGCTAAATCCCTTCACAGCAGCACCTACACTAGAGTTGGTTGAATAACTGGGGGAAGGTGAATGACCAGGAGGTGGTAGTTGGGGCCATCATAGAGTCAGCCTAGCAATGGTTGGATCTTCCTTTTGTGTTTAATTGGGACACAGTTGGAAATTGAAGTTCAAGTAAAGTGATCATTGTGAACGGTAATAAAATGCATCCTCTTCAGCCGTGGAAATTCTCCTTACCTTTTAAAACTAAGTTACATGTTTAATATCTTATAATTAATTTAGGCCAGGTGTGGTGGCTCACGCCTGTCATCCTAGCATCGTGGAAGGCAGAAGAAGGCAAATTTGTTGACTCCAGAAGTTCAAGATCAGCCTGGGCAACATGGTGAAGCCCTCATCCCTACAAAAAAGTTAGAAAATTAGTCAGGCATGGTGGTTCATGCCTGTAGTCCCAGCTACTCAGTAGGCTGAGATCAGAGGGTCCCTTGAGCCCAGCAGGTCGACACTGCAGTGCATGGTGATCATGCCACTGCACTCCAGCCTGGGTGACAGAATGAGATCCTGTCTTAGAAATAATAATAATGATGATGATAAATTTAGAGTAAATGCATACTAACATGTAATAATACACTCTGTCTTGTGAAAATGTATTAGTTATTTACTATTACATAACAAATTATGTAAAACTTAGCAGCTCAAAACAACAAATATTCCTCATCTCTCACAGTTTCCAATGATCAGGAATCTAGGAGAGGTTTCCCTGAGTGCTTCTGGCTCAGGGCCTCTCGCAAGGTTGCAGTCCAGTTGTCAGCGTAGGCCTGCATCATCTGAGGGCTTCGCTGGGGCTGAGCATTCACATGAAACATGGCTCAGTCACATGGCTCTTGGAAAAGGCCTAGTTCCTTGTTGTCTGTTCCTAGAAGGCCTCAGTTCTCAGTCACGTGAACCTTCCTGCAGGGCCACTTATGGCAAAGCAGCTGGCTTCCCCCAGAGCTCATGATCCCAGAGACAGAGAGAGAGAAGGTGGAAGCCGCAGTGAGTTTTATGTTCTACACCCAAACTCACAAACTGCTACGTCAGCATTACTCTATTAGTTAGAAGTTATACTATTCTGTTCTCTCACTGCTGTAAAGAAATACCTGAGACTGGGTAATTTAAAAAGAAAAGAGGTTTAATTGACTCACAGTTCTTCATGGATGAGGAGGGTACCCGAGGAAACTTACAATCATGGCAGAAGTGGACGCAAACACGTCCTTCTTCACATGGTGGCAGGAGAGAGAAAAGCAGAGTGAAGTGGGGAAAAATCCCTAATATTGTATATATACACCATGGAATATTATGCAGCCCTAAAAAGGCACAAGATCAAGTCCTTTGCAGGAATATAGATGAAGCTGGAAGCCATTATCCTCAACAAACTAAAGGAACTAACAGAGTAACAGAAAGCCAAACACCACATGTTCTCACTTATAATTGGGAGCTGAGCAATGAGAACACATGGACACGGGGAGAGGAACAACACACATGGGCCTGTTGGTGGAGGGCAGTGGTGGGGGGATCATTAGGAAAAATAGGTTCAATCATTGACTTCCACAGTGGTTGAATCAATTTACATTTCCACCAACAGATCTCATGAGAATTCACTTACTATCATTAGAACAGCTTGGGGGAACCGTCCCCATGATTCAGTTACCTCCCATGAGGTCCCTCCTCGAGTATGTGGGGATTACAATTAGCATGACAATTGAAGATGAGATTTGGGTGGGAACACAGAGCCAGGCCATATCAGAAGTGC